ATATAATATAATATAATATAATATAAATAATAGAACATAATAGAAATAACAAAACATAATAGAACATAATATAAATTTACACGATTATTATATATTTATATATTTAATATATTTAATATATTTAATATATTTAATATATTTAATATATTTTATATATTTTATATATTTTATATATTTTATATATTTTATATATTTTATATATTTTATATATTTTATATATTTTATATATTTTATATTTTACCTATAAACCCTTACATATTTTATGCGGCTTTTTTGGTAAGGTATTAATTAAATGTCACACCCTCCAGCTGCTGCAGAGCTGCTCCCAGCGAGGTTTTGTGGAGCAGGGAGGGCGATGAGCAGCAGGGAGGAGCAGCAGGATGCTGCTGCACTGCTGCCATCAAACCCGAGGCTGCAACCTTGCAGCCCCGTCCTGCCCTTGACCCTGCAGAAATCCACGCCTGGATCAGCTCAGCCAGCCTGGAAATCCGTGGGCTGGGAATTAAAGTGGCTTTGCTGCCCTTAATTCTCAGGGGAATTTGTTCTTTTCTGGGCTTTTCTCCCTCAAACACGGCTCTGCTTTTCCTCTGTAGAGGAGCTTGAACTTTCCCAGAGCCAGGTGCTCTTTGTGCCTTTTCCCTGTGGATTTTGATCCTTTCCCTCTCCCTTTTCCCCAGGAAAATGCAGTTTTTGGGCACGGACAGGGAAAAGCCATCCCTTTTACATCCACCTCTTTAAGTGCCTCTTCTTCCTTTCTTCTTTCCTCTTTCTGAGGAACTGTCAGCTTTAAAAATCAGAATTGCTCCTCCAAGCAGGACTGAGAGACTCACAGAACACCTTCATGGCCACAGGAATGCTTCCAACCGCTGCCCGCTCTGGGGCTGGGGAAATAAGGTCGATTTTAGGGTGAAAACCCAAACTTTCCACAGCTGGGAATTTACAGAGCTGTCCATGTAATTGCAGCTTGTACCACGAGGATGTGTGCTGGGTACAGCCTTTAATTGTGTGATCACAGAGTTTTCATTTCTAGGTTTTGGTGTTTAAGTTTCCCAATTTTATACAAAATATTTGAAACATTTCCTCTGTTTCATTTTCCCCAAATGAAAACTTTTTTTAAAATGCAAACGTGAAATCTTTTCCTTTGTACAACATTCAAACATTAACTTTTAACTTTCCCCATGACGCATATAAAGACAAAAATTATTACTGTGAAAACAGTTCTATTTAAAGAAAAAAAAAATTATTGAGGAAGACAGAGAAGGAAATGAAAGGAAATTTTGATTACTTTATCCAGGGATTTTTACACGCTCCCTAAGCACCATTGAGTAAATTCCTGATGAATGGACACAAGAGATGAGCTATAAATGACTCCTCCAACTCCAGCAGGGAGCTGGAACAGCCTGGAAAAGGCTGGAATTGCTGAGCCCATCTCCCTGTCTCTGGCCTTTCCTTTTTAAAGCCAATTTTCTTCCTGCAGGCAGTGCTCAGAAAAATCCAGCACAGGCCCATCTCAGGCCCATCTCAAACCCTTTTACACCTCTTCTCCATGTCCCTGCTTTTTTAACGTTTTTTTTTTGTCCCACCCTGCATTTTCTGCATGGTTCTGCCTCCTCGATATAGTTTTTCATTATGAAAGGGCAACAGGAGAGGAGAAAAAACTGTTGCTGTATTTAGCATTGATTTTTCCCCTTCACTCTGAGTCACAGAAGCTAACATTTAATTAATTTCTGACACTTTGACAGCTCCTAAGAAGACATTTGTAGAGCTATCAAGTGCTGCTGATAGCACTGTCAGACAGACACTTTTTGAATTATCAGCTATTAAGGACCCATATGCAACAAATTTCCAAGGATTATTATCCAAATTGTTCTCTGAATGAGAAAAGCACACAAAAGCTCAGTGAAACATAAAGAAACCATTGTTCCCAGGTGAATTTGATATTTGCAAATGTTTTGCTATTTTGATCACTTTACGTGGTTTAATAAATTGAAGTCACTTTGTCTTTTATTAAGGAAATTAAGTGGCCTTGGTTTGGGGTGTCTGAGAGCGGGGCCAGATTTCCCAGTGTGGTCTTTGTGGAGATGCAGCTTGGGAAACATGGAATATTTGATGCTGGGAAGGGCTGAGCAGGGAATGAGGCCACGGAAACTATTTAGCTATTATTTAGGTTTTAGGAATTATTATTTTAGGAATTATTTTAGGAATGATTTAGGTGGGAAAAGCCCAGCCAAGCCAGAACCACCAACACCACTGAACCACAGCCCCAGGAGCCACATCCACAGGGATGGTGACTCCACCACTGCCCTGTTCAGTGCCTCGCTACTCTTTCCATGGGATTTTTTTCCCATAATATCCAACACAAACCTCCCCTGGCATGAACTGGGGGCTCTGTGGAAGGCTTAGTAGCTCCCAGGCAGGTGTTGGCATTTCCAGCTCTGCCTGTCTGGGTTCTGGAGAGGTCAGGAATCAATTTATAAACTGAGGGATGCTCAATTTCGAGCCCGGATCGTTTCTGCTGGGTGGAAATCCCTTCTCTGCGTGGGACTGGGGTGTGCAGTGGGGACATCCATCGTCACAGCCCTGCCCTGGCAGCTCTGCTGTCACCCCCCTGAGCAGGAGCTTCCCCACCTTTCCCAGGGGCCAAGCGTCCTGCAGGTCTCACTGCACACATGGAATTCACATTTCACCTCCTGGCACCAGAGAGAGACCCCGAAACAGCAACACCAGAGCTCCCCTCCACACTCCACATCCCCCTTGAGCTTTGTTCACCCCCCGCAGCACAGAGGAGCTTTTTTGTTGTCTGAACTTCAAGTTAATGACACACAAACCTCTGTCCCAGCAGCTGAATTCCTTTGGGGTATTGTGAGAGCACAGGGAGACAGAGAAAGTCCAGGAGCCACTCGCTCAGTGGGTAAAACTCAGTGGGCAAAACAAGCACCAGAGCTCCCACAGGTTTGAGGGAACTCCACAGGAATCCCATGATTTTTTATGTTTTACCTCTGGAGGAGTGCACAGCTCGTGGCCATTGGCCAGGGAATGGTGGGGGGAGCTGCTGTGGTGATAAGATTTTCCAAGGAAAAGCAGGAAACCATGTTCCCAGGAGCTGCTGAGGGCTGTGGGGTGGCAGCAGTGCTGTCCCCACCATGTCCCCATTCACTGCCACCTCACTGGGGCAATGGCAATGCAGCCCAGCCCAGCCCTGACTGCAAAAGCTGCTGCTGTCCAGTTCCATCATTGTCACTATCCAGGTCTTGGGGTTTAAAATGTATTTATTTCACCGCTGGAGGAAAAAAATAAAAAAAAAAAAAAAAAAAAAAAAAAAAAAAAAAAAAAAAAAAAAAAAAAAAAAAAAAAGGAATACAGCCCAAAACCCCACGAAGCACATGGAAAATAAACAAAGTGGGTCATGGCACTTGTGCCCTGAACTGTGCACACCTGACAGGGAGCAGGGAATGGCAGGGAATGACAAAACACCCCAGCTGGGAAGGACAAAACTTCCCAGCTGGGAAGGACAAAACACCCCAGCACTCTTCCTGACCCAGCTGTACCACAGAATAACTGGCACAGAGACCTGGGGGGAGCTGGCAGCTCCTGGAATCCCTGCCTGGGTCAGGAGTTCTGCCTCCACTTCCAGCCAAACATTTCACCAGGGCAGGGCGAGCAGGCTCCAGGGAACGCCAGGCAGCAGAACCCTGATTTTTAAAAAAATGCATATTTATATGTCTCTACACAGACATTTGCTATATTTATTATGTTATATTGATTAGAAGTTCTGTATTAACATTTTAATAGCATGGTAAATGTAGTTTGTAGTTAAAATGAAGTTTTAGTAGTTAAAATAGAAACTATGTATGTGTTTTTTTTTTTTAAAGAATGAGATACTCGCTTTGAGGTAACAGTCACAGAACACCTAAATCTTCCAGAGAAGAGGAATTTTTTGTTTTCTTCTCAGAAGAAGCTAATTTCTTCAGGCCTTGCTCAGACTGGAAGATGTTGTGGGGATTAAAAGAAGCAGCTGACATATACCAGACAGAGTTTCTTATTTTAAACAGAATGTATGCATAACCATGAAGTATATATGAATATGCAACAGTGTTTGGTTTTTAAGGGTGATTCCTTTGTTCACAAAACATGCTTTTTGTCAGCTTAGTGTCCAAAAACATCCGGACATACGTAATTCTTTGCTTTTTATTGTCTTGCAATTGTCTTAACTCTAAATTTTTATTACTCTAATTGTATTACTATTTTTATAACCATGTTATTATTATGAAACCTTTAAAAATTTTAAAAAACAAGCCATGGGCGTTTTTCACGTTTTCCATTTCCATTTTCCACACTGGCCTCTCCAACCTCTCCGTGGCAGGGTTTTATTATTATTAAACATTTAATAACTGTTTTATTAAACATTTAAAAAATTTTAAAAAGAAGGGATTGTTGTTTTTCACATTTCCCATTTCCATTTTCCACGCTGGCCTCTCCAACCCCTCCGTGGCAGGGTTTTATTATTATTATTAAACGTTTAATAACTGTTTTATTATTATTAAACATTTTTTAAAAATTTAAAAAACAAGCGATGGGCATTTTTCACATTTTCCATTTCCATTTGCCACGCTGGCCTTTCCAACTCCTCTATGGCAGGGTTTTATTATTATTAAACTTTTAAAAAATTTTAAAAACCAAGCGATGGGCATTTTTTCACATTTTCCATTTCCATTTGCCACGCTGGCCTCTCCAACTCCTCTGTGGCAGGGTTTTATTATTATTAAACATTTAAAAAAAATTCAAAACCAAGCGATGGGCGCTTTTCACGTTTTCCATTTCCATTTGCCACGCTGGCCTCTCCAACCCCTCTGTGGCAGGGTTTTATTATTATTAAACATTTAATAACTGTTTTATTATTATTAAACATTTTAAAAAATATATAAAAACCAAGCGATGGGCGTTTTTCACATTTTCCCTTTCCATTTTCCACGCTGGCCTCTCCCACCCGTCCGTGGCAGGGCGGAGCTGGCACGCGGAGCCCCATGGATCCCCTCAACCTCTCGTGGTACGACGGGGACAGGAACTGGAGCAGGGCCCTGAACGCCTCGGAGGCGGCGCAGAGGCCGCACTACAACTACTACGCCGTGCTGCTCGCCCTCCTCATCTTCATCATCGTCTTCGGCAACGTGCTGGTGTGCATGGCCGTGTCCCGGGAGAGAGCCCTGCAGACCACCACCAACTACCTGATCGTCAGCCTGGCCGTGGCTGACCTGCTGGTGGCCACGCTCTGCATGCCCTGGGTGGTCTACATGGAGGTAAGGGCTGGAGGGACGGTGGGTGTCAGAATCTGAGGTATTGATGATTCTGAGATTGTAGAAAGTCTCTGTCT